ACTTATAAGAATACTAAAGAGGCCTAAAAACTCAAAAATTGTATTCCTTACTGATGCAGCGTCAGTATTACAATCACTCAGGTCGTGTGGAACAAAATCACAGGCAGTGAAACAAAAGCCTGAGAAAACTAGCCAAAGATCTTGAAGACTTGATGCCCTTTCACAAGAAAGTTGTCCTGCAATGGATCCATGGACACTATGGCCTCTCTGGAAACGAAAGGGCAGACCAGTTGGCACTAGCGGATCCAGGATTTAGTTTTGAGGGAGGCAGGCTTCAGCCCGAAACCTTTTTTTTTCATAGAAGCATAACGATAATTAATTTGAAAAAAAAAGAAAGAAATTAATTACCTATATGAAATCGTGTTTAAGTGATTCTTTAAGTTCTATTAAACATAATTAAACGAACAAGAATACTTTAAGAGATAGTTTTTAATATTTTTTTTTCGTAAATTATAGTTATATTTTACCATTTTGGGGGGGGGGAGGGAGGAACTTCAGCCCGAAAGTCTCCCCCAGGAGATCTGCCTGTGCTAACAGACAAAGGAGGGGGCCTTGATTTCGCAATTTGATTATAAGATCAGCCTAGACGAGGTAAAAAGAATCAATAAAGCTATTATTAACCAACGCAGGTTCAGAAGTCATTTACTTCACGACTGCAGAGGTGCCATCTATGGACCGACCCGACGAGATCTCAGATCTTGATCTCTTGCTTACTAACAGGACACAACAGGCTCAAAGCTCACCTATTCAGTAAGTTCAAAATTGGCTGTAGTTTCCTCTGAGAGTGCGGTGAGGGAGTACAGAGCTAATTCTTCTTAATAATTATCGACCCATACATCGATTAAATCAGAAAAGTTCAAAACGTCGGTGCCCGGGGGGGGGGGGACCGTATCTAAAATTCGACAATATTTTTATAATAAACGCCCCCTAATATCTAATAGTCGACCCATACATCGATTTTGTAAATCAGAAAAATTACAAAAAGTCGGTGCCTGGGGAAATTTTCATAAAAAGCGCCCCTGATTACATAACAGTCGATCCTAATATCAATTAATAAAATAAAATAAATAAATTTTCCTCTAGTGTTAGCGTTAAGTTAGCTTTTAGTTAAGTTAATAGATAATTTAGCGGTAAAGTTATCTGCGCTAAAACAGTTAGAAGCTAAATTAGCTTAATATTTAGCGCCGCTAATTTTAGCTTTTTAGCGGTACGTTAGCTAGTTAAAAATTAGCGCGCTAATGCCCAACTCTGTCTCTATATAATTGTTTGCGTCTCCTATAGAAAATTTTAGACCAATTATTTTATTATTTCGATGGCAAAATATCGAATTAACTTCACATGATAACAAAATAATCACGCTGAAAATTATTACAAAATGATTTATTATTTCCAAAAAAACAAAAAAAAAAACATAAAATGTATCCTAAATAAAGGATATAACCAAGGCTCGGATTTTTATGAAACTAGTAGGCCCTGCGAAACATTTTTAAGTGATCAAATGCCAAATTAATAAGAAAATAAAATAATGCAACGTATCATAAGATGAAGAAATTGTTACTTTCTCAATTAATATAATCGATAAAGGAAACAAAAATTAATTTAAAACTTCATTAATGTTTGGAGCCAACATGTTTACGAATTTCAATAAGCTGTATCCTAGTTGAAAATTGTCTGAAACATATAACATATCCTACGAAAGTGCAGGGTCTACTCCTAGCAAAAGAAGGTGATCTGGTCCTCTCCAACTGAATTGGAAAGGAAACTATATGGAAGTCTGGAAGATCTGGACTGGACTACCGAATTCTTCATTTTGGTTCCTGACATAGTCATACAAGGAAGAACGCAGAAGAAGAAGAATAGTTAAAACCAAAACTTACAGAACTTCAGACTGTAAACTTACAGTGTAAAAGATATTTATGGTTATTTTACCATGTAGTATTATACCATGCTTCCGGGCTGAAACCTTTCCTGCCCCTACCAAAATAGAAAAATAATGTTTTCTTCGTTGGTTTGTTTAGTACTCTAACACAAAAAGAATTTTCCGAATCTGATTTCTTAATATTGACGCTTACAAATCAACGAACAGTTCATTTTTTTTTTTTTTCTTACCCTCCAAAATGTTTATTGAAACAATTACATATATAGTATACAATAATACAATATATAAATGCAATAAATTCCTTCTACTGCCCGAGGGCATTTTAAGGGTTGGGGATAGCTAAGGGTTACATATGTGGCAGAAGGCCTTGTGACTTTGACATTGAACGGGGAAGGACCGTTCTGCTAATTTTTTATTATTTACAATATATACAAATTAATGGGTTTGGACCGCAGAGACCAGACCACATCCTTCGGCGAGTATGTCCACCAAAGGGAGTTTACCTTGCCACCTCCCAGGTCTGGGTGGTGGTGAGATCTCATTGAACAGTGGGTTTGCACAGGCCTTCGGCCCATCAAAAATTTGATGTGCCTCCGGCCTATCAACTCAGGTACCGAGGGGAGCTGGAGCTCCTCGCGTATTGTTTGATTCTTAGCCCTTTACGAACAGTTCAACAAACATACTTTATACTTATATCGGTCATCTCACGGGCAGATCTACGGGAAGGGGGAGGGGCAAAATGGTAAAATAAACATGTTTTATGGAAATAAATATTTAAAAAATATCTCTTAAAGTATTATTGTTCGTGTAATTACATTTAAAAGTACTTTAGGAATCACTTAAACACCATTTCATATAGGTAGTTAGTTTCTTTCTTCTTTTCCAAAGTAATTATCGTTATTTTTATGAAAAAAAAGCTTTCGGGCTGTCGCCTCCCCCCAAAACTATAAATCCTGGTTCAGCTAGTGGGGCATCTAAGGACCGCGTGTATATAATTTCCTTACCCATTAGTCCATATTATCTTCATTTGTCCATTCATTCATTCTCTCTCTTTCGCTCGTTTATTCATTTTCCCCATCTCCATCTTTCTTTTCTGCTACAAGGACCTTAATGTATTTTCTGAATTTTTCTCCATCCTGGAATTATTTTTTTAGAATACCAAGTCTTATTATTTCCTCTTTCACTTGACTGGGGTGTCCTTCGATGTTCTTAGCCTAATCGGTATTCTTTTCATGTGTCTGAAACATCGTAGTGTCCTTTTCCTCTTCGATGTTCCCAAGTCTTCGAATCCTTCATACAGTTGTTTTTTAAGTAAGTACTCTTTTACTTGGTCCGTGAATACGTATAAAATTTTTTCTTCTGTTTTTAGAAGTTTCTTCAAACTAGTAAACCTCATTGTTCCCGAAACGTATAATATCGTCGGTCTCACCACTGCTTAATTGTGTCTGATTTTTGCCTTTTATCTAAAGATAATTTTTACTATAGGCATCCTTTGTCAAATGTTCCGATCTCTCCAATTATTATATCAATATTAGAATTTCTTTTTTGTTCATAAAAAATTCATATTTATTTTAAATGTTTAGGAGTGTTACTTTAATTACTTACAATTACTTTTAAAATATTTTATAAGGACCCTATTAATCAAATAAACACGTGAAATACCTATTTCTCTATTAAAAGCTATCAGTCAGAGCTCAAATCCACTTAGCAGGATTAGCATAGAAATCTTCGGAAAGGGTTTTATATGAGAGGTACTGAGAAGTCCTTGAGGATCAAAAGGTTTTCTCTTTTTCTACTTCAAACTTCTCTCTTTCGAGAAGCCAGTAACTAAAGATTACTCATATCAGTTTCAAGGGAAAAACGAGGTTTTTAAAAGAAATTGTCATGGATTATTGGATTATTTCTTAACGTTCTATGGTAGGTCACAATAAAGATTATATGTATATTAATTACTTTTAGAAGTTGTTTTATCTCTCCAGACTAAAATTTGTGTAAATAATTTTTTTTTTAAAACTTTTATCTAATAGTATTTAACGGACAAGGGGGGACTTCTCCCAGGCCCCGAACTTCCAGCATTATTTTATATTTAGGTTGAGTAAAAAATATATTTTTCTGAATATGGATTTTTTTAAAACTTAATAAATCAGTGATGAATTAGTTTTCAGAGGTATTTATTTCTGAATAATCACCTTTCATCACTGCTACATTTATCATAATAGAATGAATCATAAAATTTAGGTGCAGATGATATTGCTGTTCTAGGAAGGAACTGAGAGGACGTTGAGAAACTCGCTAAGATTCTGAAAAGAGAAGAAGAGCAAATTCACCTACAAGTAAATAGTGCTAAAACGAAATGTATGATATTAAACCGAAAATTCTATCCCAATGACAGGATCTTCAAAATAGGAAAATCCTTACCGAGAGTAGACTAACTTAAATATCTTTTTTCCAAAATAGCATTAATGAATGCCCAACGATTTACTAAAATAGATCTGCGTAAGACAAGCGTAAATAGAGCTTTGTTCTCTCTTTCAAAGGTTTAGAATTAACGGTGTACAATGCTATGATCACTAGCGGATCCAAGATTTAGTTTGGGGGAGGGGGAGACTTCAGATCGAAAGATTTTTTTTTTTTAAATATACAACGATAATTACTTAAAAAGAAAAAGAAAGAAACTTTTACCATTTTAAGAATATTTTACCATTTTGGAGGATAAAACCAGGTCTCATGTACGGTAACTAGCCAGGACACTAATCGGCAATCTAAAAAAAAGTATTAAAGGATTTGAGACGAGATAAATTGTGTTTTGACGCGGATTTTAAGACTCAGTATAATTCAAAGGAGTACCCTGCTTTTTGAAGCCCAAAAATGTCCAATTTTCGAGATATGTAGACATTCTTGCCGAAAGCCTCAAATGTCTAAAATGATTACCATGGAATACTTATTTTTTTTTTTAGGTTTTAAAAATAAAAATATTGGACGAGAAAAGCTGTATCATTCCTAGAGCACTTTGTGTAATATAGAAAGAAAATTTTTGAAATATCATATTAACTAATTTAAATATATAAATAAACAAAGCGTATGTTGCGTTAAGAATCGCAAGCGTGAAGATGGCATTGTTGTGGTATCAGTCACCAAGGACACCTTTAAGTTTATATGGCCGCCGCGATACGAACCAGTCTTGCTTCAACTTTCGTAGCGATTTGTACTCAAGATGGTTCGACTAACGATAAACAGTCTTCTTAAACACAGCAGTATGAAGATGCCGGCTGTAGGTTTTGGAACATGGCAGGTAAATAATACAACATATTAATATAGCAATTAACACAGTTAGATCTATGGGAGGGGCTTTCCGGCTGAAGCTCGCCCCCCTCCCCAAAATGGTAAAATATGATCATTTTTTACAGAAAAAAATATTAAAAACTATCTCTTAAAGTATTCTTGTTCATTTAATTACATTTAATAGGACTTCAAGAACCACTTAAGCACCATTTCATATAAGTAGTTAATTTATTTTTTATTTTTTTTTCAAATTAATTATCGTTATACGTATATGAAAAAAAAACTTTAGGGCTGAAACCACCCCCCCTAAAAATTAAATCCTGGATCTGCTAGTGGCAATTAATAACAAATCTAACAAGTTATATTTCGATAAATTGTGTAATAGGTTGCAATTATTTGAAAAGTTAAAAGTCTTGTAGCTAATTAAAAATTATTATTTAAAATGTTATAAATTTAGTGTATGTTTATTCTAATGCCTACTAGATAGCATTATGCCAAGAGTCCTAAAACATGTCCACATTTATTTTAAATATGAAAACATAAATAATTAATTTTTTACACATAAGTTCTATTTTCTAATCTGGTTACAGTAATATATTGCAATTATTTTTTAAATTGTTTGAAAAGTTAAAAATCCTGTAACTAACTAAAAATTACTAGTTGATTCTATATTTATTCTGATCCCCGCTAGATAGCACTATGGCAATAGAATTAAAACATGTTTAAATATTTTTCCTTTAAAACTTATTTTAACTATAAAATCGTATGTAATTAATTTTTCACAAATTAAATATTTCAAGAAATTTTATTAAATTATTTGTTTTTTTTAATAATAAAATAAAATGTTTGTGTCACAAACATTTAAATTTTATTTAATAAATACAGAATTTTTTACTTGCCTAATATTTTTTTCTAGTGCTAGAAATTAAAGGTTTAAAAAACTGATAAATTTATTATTGCAATCAATACATAAGTATTTAACATTTTTTTAAAAGCAATAATAATGAGATTTGAGGCTGAATATTATAATTGATATATATTCAATTGATTCACTTTTTTAATATTATTTTTCACAATTAATTTTGTTTCTTCTTTAAAACCATAATAATTTGAGGGAAAATAATTTAAATCCTTACAGATCTTCACAATTTCTTCTCTTTTATTTTAATTTACTTTTTATTATATCTCAATACACCATTTTTCATTAACGAATTCTAATATGTTTTAAAAATTTATTCCCAACTTCTTTGTCATTTTAAAAAAAATGTTTATTGATTTTTATTAAATTACCTTAATTATAATACACATGAAGTAAAATATGAAAAAAATTGTATGGATATAAATTATTTTCCTAGAAATTATTTTTTTTTTTTTTTACACAAATCAGCCAGAAAGTACCACACGGATATCATTTCTTGTTTTTCTTCACATCTTCTGCCTTCCTTACTCCAATACTCTTTCATCCTCTTAGACTGTTCTTCTCGCTCTTCTGTAGTCCATTTTCTCCCTCATCTCTCCCTCCCTCCTACAAGAACCCCAACCTCTTTTAGTTTTTTTCCCAAAAATCTCTCTATCCAAGCAGTCCTTATCCATGATTTTTAGCCTACCCAGTTCCTCTTTTATTTGTTTTACATATCCTCCATACTTTTATAGCTGCAGACTTTGACGAAAATTTTCTTGTTTAGTCTCTCATCGTTCATTCTGACCATGTGCCTGTAGAACTTCATTCTCCTGATCCTGATGAATTTCCAGATCTTCCAAATTTCTATATATTTCTTCATTGGATTTTCACCTATATCCCTCTTGCGTTATTATGGATCCGTGAATCATCCTCAGAATTATTATTATCATATTATATATAATATAACTATATATTATATAGAATTATTATAATATTAATAATATAATTTTTGTAACTTTAAAATACTTCTGCTGCTTCAAATGCTTCCTTATAATAAATATGTATGTACTAATGAATTTTGAAGGAAGTAATTATTCCCTTAATTCAGTATAAAAAAAAAAAGAAGAAAATAATAATGTTATTATTATTTTAACTATGAAAACTTAAAAATCAGACTATATTTGGAAGGTGCAAATTAATGTTAATATTAGTTTAGTAAGGATTTGAAATATTGATTTAAATATTAATAATAGCATAAACCTTTATATTTCTTAATCAAATATTACATTTTTCAGATCAAACCAGAAGAAATTGACTCAGCTTTGAACGCAGCCATAGATGCGGGATATAGACACATTGATACAGCTTACGCATATAATAATGAAGTCGATATAGGAAGATCACTCAAAAAAATGTTCGAAAGTGGAAAAATCAAAAGGGAAGACCTTTTCATTACAACAAAGGTATTTTCAGCGTATGAAGTACAAGATATATGAACAATTTATACTTTATTTAATTATATAGCTACCACAGATCAACCATATTCCAATCAATGTAACTATCAAAAAAGTTTTGAGATATGCATTCATTCATCTATTTTTACAAATCAACACTGTCATGCTTTCAAATAATATTTGTTATGTAGATTTTTTGTTACTAATTTTAATGATATTATAGTATGTAATTACATAGATTTCATAAGAATAAATGCAAGTATCAAAATTTACTATTACGTTTTAGCTTCCACCTTGGGGAAATCATCGGGAGGAAGTAGAAAACTTCTTAAAGACATCCCTCGCCAGACTACAACTTGACTATGTTGATCTTTACCTTATTCATTCTCCAATGGGATTGAAGAAACCCGAGGATGTGAACACTCCTATTGCGTCTCTAGGATTAGATATGAAAACTGATCTTTTGGAATTATGGAAAGTAAGTTACATCAGTATTAAAACTATCTTTCGAACGCTTCTAAAGTATTTTCACATTTTATAGGTTATTGTAAGTTTTTTTGTTAGGAATTCAGGCCTTTAAAACATCCTAGTAGAAAAATTAGCAGTAAATTTAATAATAAAAATATTAACAAACAAATTGATTATTCAATAGATAATAAATGTGACGTAAAAAAAAAAAAGGTTATGGAAAACAAATAATAATTAAATGAAAGATGGTGTTAGAAAGCACTATTATTGGACTCAGGATTTCATTTTTTTTTAACGTTAATTACTCTCGAAAGAAAAAAAGAAAGAAACTATACAAAATTATGTTTATGTAGTCCCATTTAAAAAAAAAGTAAATACTGCTTTTAGTGTTAAGTTTAAAATATTTTTCTTCTATGTGCTTACATTTAATAGCAATATATATATGCACTGTAATTTATATAGGGTACGTGTGATTTTTTAAAATATTTAGCTAAGATCACTCGCAGAAGTAAATATGGACCAATGAAAAAAAAAGTTATTTTTCCAATTGAAAACCCAGGCCTCAGCCCAAAAGTTGTAAAAAAAAAAAAAATAAAAGAAACTTAATTTTTGTTTTGTTTTGTATGAAATGGAAAAATGGCTGATATAAAAACTAATATACATGGAAAATAATTAATGAAAAATTATAAACGAACTAATATGACTATTAAAAAACTATTTAAAATGTCTCATAAATAATCAAGAAGCTATAAAATGTATAGTAACAATATACATATAAATGTAGAAAATTATTTGAAAATAAAACAGTAATAGAGAAGAATTGAATTAATCATGATGAGGGAAAGAGAAAATTGATACTCAGAAAATTGAGAAATTGAATAAAATGTAATGAGATGGTCAAGGGTTGCAGTCATAAATAGGCTTAATAGTGGTAAAACTATTTTATTGAAAGCCGACGTTTCGACCCGACTTTGCAGGTCTTCATCAGGGAGGTGTGTTCATCTAGGAGTTTCACTTAGAACTGATGAACTGATGAACTGAACTATTTATGACCGCAACCCCTGACCATCTCCTTCCTTTATAATGAAACGGTCAACTATTAAATATTCAATAAAATGTAATCTTTGTACATCAATATACTATCCAGTATTAAAAAAAAATAAATAAAATGCATCAAAGTTGTACAGTATACTTCAATAAATCAAATTAACAATACTATTTTGTTGCGAAGTAGCATTTAGATTGGTTGTATGAATAAAAGAATAATATATTTCTTGGGAGCCTTTAAAAATTGTATTTATTTTATAGGGAATGGAAGCTCAAGTAGAAGCGGGAAGGACCAAGTACATCGGTATTTCCAAGTTTAATGAAAGTCAGATTCAAAGGATACTCGATAACTGTAAGATTCGACCTGCCAGTCTTCAAAATGAACTGCATGTCTATCTTCAGGAGAAAGAACTAGTGTCTTTCTGTAATAAAAATGACATCACTGTAACTGCTTTTTCTGCCTTTGGTTCACCGGGAACTAGGACATGGAGTGAGGTTGCAAGGTGAATATAAATTTTGGTAAAGGTTCACAATAGTGATGTCTTATTGATAAGTACCATATAAAGATAACATCAATCACACTGAGAGATATTCTACTCGAGTCTAGTGGCACGAGTTTGACTCCAGCTTGGATAGGATGGAATTTGTTTCATGGAAAAACAGAATGAATCTCGACCTCCTCATTCTGGGTAGAATAGTTTGTTTCTACCTATAGAACAACCCCCGTATGGGAGAAATAGCCTAAAAGAAGTAAAGAGAAAAAAAGATCAATCAAACTTTATATAGAATCCTAAAAGTAGCTGAGGGTATCTTAAACTATATTGAGGCCTAAACTATATTAAATTTCTATCATTGTAGAGGCCCTCAATTCATATGTAAGGAATTTGTGTGAAGAAATTTATGAACGCTCAGCAACTTTCAGGATTCGTTGTAAAGTGTGATCGATGTGATCTTGACTTATTTGTGAATCAGATGTGACACTTGTTAAATGGAAGAAGTTGGAGCATTCATTGATTTTTTATTTTGCCATTGTTCTATTTTTATATCCTGTATTTAATTGTTCCTACATGGTTATGATATGGTTATACATTTATAATGTGTTGTCTTCTTAAAAAAGAGAAGAATTTATTTATTTATTCCAATAATTTTTGTTCTAGGAAATTCAAGATAATGAAATTATTATTTTTTTTTTAATTCTAGAGTTTCTTATGGATTGTTATTATTTTTTTAAAAAAGAATAATAAGAAAACGATAAATTTAGAAATATTATTGTCAATATGACGTAAATTGTTCTTCTTAAATATTTTGTTGATTTTTATATCTATATTCAGATTATTTCATGAATATTCATATTCATATATATATATATTATTCTTATTTTAAAAAAATATATATATATATATTATTCTTATTTTTGATGTGTCTGTATAAATTTGTAGAATCAATTCTATTAAGTATTCATTCATAGAACTGCTTTAATTCTAATGGTGTTCATGATTATATACAAGCATATGTAAATGTTATTGAAAAAATCTTAAGTTAAATAAATGTATAGTAATCTACATTACTTATTATACTATCCATTTTAAATAAATAATTTTAGGTCTGCTGCTATACCTCTTGAAGATCCTGTTATAACTGAAATTGCGAAGAAATACAACAAACAGCCTTCACATATTCTGCTTAGGTATTTGATCGAATATGGTGTTGCTGTCATTCCAAAAAGCTCCAATCCTTCTAGAATAAAGCAAAATATCGATGTGAGTGTTTATACCATCCATTACTTCCTAGTAAGATAAAATAATATGTATTTACTAATATTATTAATATTTTTTTGTAGCTATTCGATTTCGAACTTACAAAAGAAGATTACGACAAAATAAGCAGTCTAGATCGTGGAGAAAACGGAAGGATATTTGGTGCTGCTTTCTTTGAGAAGAGTATAAAGCATCCAGAATATCCTTTTCCTAAATAAATTTTACTGAAAAGCACTGAACTGTTATAAGTTATTATTATTTCACATTGATGTATTATCTATTTAATTGTATTAAATAAAAAATTGTTATAATTTTTAAAAATGTCATTTTTTCAATCCAAAGATATATCCCCAACAACTGATAATTTAAACACATCATCTACAGTTATTCTAACTCATAAAATAGTCTACACAATTTTAGTCTTAATCATCAGTAGTTTAATAAAGGAAGTAAAGTAAAGGACCTGGGTCTATAAATTATATTAGTCAAATATAATTAATTATATCTGAACTACCACGACCATTGAAAGAGGTCATATACCAAGATTCGCAGATACTGTGGGGCAGCAGCCTTGCTAATAAACTGAATTTTTTAGGCTTCACTCCATAAACAATGAAGTGAAGCTATGCAGCAGTTATAGTCATAGTGAAGGCAGAGAGGAAGTTGTCCTTAAGCAACTTAGAATAAGGCATATCAGACTTACGCACATTCATTTAATTGCTAAAGAAACTTGCCCGTTTGTTGGAGGCATGAAGAGAGAATTGGCCCATATCTTAGAGAGTTGCATCTTTTACACCAGAAAGTTAAATGTAAATGGAATACCAGCAAATACAACAACTGTTTGGGAAATGAAGAAAAAAATATTGAATAAAGTCATCTTTTATCTTAGAAGTTTTTAAAAATATCTCAAATGTTATCTCTTTTCTTTTTTTAAATTTAAAGTAGATATAATTATAAGGAAATATACATGTAAACTTGATTAATGGTGTTTATAACCTAATTTATATTAGTTTAAATTATAACCTGAAGACATTAATGAATTTAAAAAAATAAATGAATACAAATTGAGAAGGTAAGACATTATTATAGCAAGTTACATGAAAATTTATTCTTTACATGTATGCAGAAGATAGATAGTTGAGGAAAATGGAGTTATGTAGTGAATTCCAAAATGAGATAGCACATAATAAAAAGGATTTTTCGTAGAAAGCAGTTCTGAGAAGGTATAAACAAATTAGAAGATTGAAATCTCGTATTTAAGGCGAGGATAGAAAAAAACAACCGATTGATGAGATCAAGATATACGATGGTTGTTTTGTTCTCACTGATTAGAATAATAAGGGACTATAAAGTTATTGTCTTTGGAAATTAGGAAATAACAAGCTATGCTTGGAATACATGTAGGAAAATCTAGAAACGCTAAAAATAAATGTTTTGCAGAGGAAACTAGAAGATAATGGGTACTTCAGGGAAATGAATTGTCGATAAGGAGAAAACAGTTGATATATAGACAGTATATAATTTTTGGAGCTATAAAGAGCATTATCTTAGTAAAATATTTTTATAAGTGAGCTTTTAGTATTTATCTACATAAATTTAAGGTATAAGTTTTTTGTTGATAAAAATAAATAAAATAACTACTTTATTTTGTTGTTTTATATTATATTTGCTGTGCCCCATGGTTTCATTAATTTTGATGAGTAGATAACATCCAATATGTAAATTAAACAGACAATATTAAAAACAAAAAAGAGACTGAAAAGAAAGCATCTACAATTTGATGACTTTATATTTACAAATTTTCCTTGAATGTAGTATGTTGCACAGGCGGATTAATGTGGGGGAGAAGGGGGGAGCTTTCGGGCTGAAGCCCCCCAAAATGGTAAAATATAATCATGTTTTGCAGAAAAAAATATTAAAAACTACCTCTTAAAGTATTCTTGTTCCTGTAATTACATTTAATATCACTTAAGAACCACTTATACACCATTTCCTATAGGTAGTTAATTTCTTTCTTTTTTTTTCAAATTAATTATCGTTATATGTATATGAAAAAAAAATCTTTCGGGCTGAAGCCCCCCAAAATTAAATCCTGGATCCGCTAGTGGTATGTTGTAAGCTATTTAAAGAAAACTTACAATGATAATGATATATAGGATATCTTCAAGGATTCAATTGCCGTTATAATATTTCCATTTATTTAGTTCGTTATGTTTCAAGTCAATTGGCTCACTTTCAAGCTATCAAAACTTTATGACATTTCTAACAAAATTTTCACATTATATAATGCTATAATATAAAAAAAACATTGTTCTTCGCATTTAATTAAATGCGATTCAAATAATCCGAACCTCCTCCTTCTACTTTTTAAAATAAACTGTAAAATGTGAAGGGCAGTGTCGTTATTTTTTTTGTATTATCAGAAAAATAAACAGTAATAGAATAATATAAAGTGGAAAGTTTTGTTAGAAATGTCATACATTTTTGATGTTTGAAAATGAGCCAATTGGCTCGAAATGTTGTAATGAACTAAATAAATGGAAACATTATAAGGGAAATTCAATCCTTGAAGATACCGTTTATAAGTATATCAGGTACCCTCGAAAAATAGAGCTGAATAGTAACTAAATATGTTTAAAATATTTTTAGTTTTTTCCCTACAGCCCGATCTAAACAAGGCAATATATAGTTATCCATGAGAAAAAATAATCTTTTTTCTAAGTTGACTCTAGTATGCTTAAACTTATAAAGACTGCAAATGCTATTTACCAAAAGTTAAGCTATTAAGTCTACATTAGAATAAAAACCATACACCATACTTCACAGTAAAACCTGAGAGCAATCAATTGAATGTTTCGGAAATACATAAAAGACAAATATTAATGTTCATCTGACTGATACACTAAAATGAAAAATTATTATTTTGAATTGAATATAAGACAGTAAGGAGATTAAAACTAACATTATCCTGAGAATAAACAAAAACTTGTATCAGCCACAATACTGTTTCAAATTCTCTTTTTATTAGGAGAGTTAATGAGATAGGGGGTATTTCCTTATTTTGGGGAAGTGCCTAAACTCAGCACAGAGATTATTGATGAACATTGGAAATCCATCAGGTAGTTCCCAAAATCAGCGCTGAAATCATTGATAGGTAGCCGAAATCAATCAATGGATTTCTGAGTTTAGAAACGTTCCCATCATTCATAAATAGTTCAAATTTTATTATTTTTCTATATCTAGATGCACTAATTTAAATTCGTAAAATAAGTTGTACATTATTACGTCTGTTTATTGGTTTTGATGTTTATTTCTGATAAGATAAAATGTATTGAAGGTTACGTATACTTTCCTACTGTTTCATTAAATTAGTAGTTTTCCTCCTCTTTGCAACAGATAAAGTGAGTAATTTAACCTAAGCGTATTTCAAAGTTTTATATCGATAATCAGATTATTTATGTTTAATTGGCTTAAAAATTTCATACATAAAACAAATACAAAATAATCTTACTAATTTATAAGGTAGAGCTTCATTTTGGAACGTTTTTTTCGAAAATTCGCAATAGTAGTATCAAAATACGCGGCTCTATGAGATGAAGTTAAGGTAATAGTTTTAAAACCTTTCAAAAGAGAGCAGCACTTCCCGGGAAAATTAAATTGTTAGTTACTGCAAACTGTCAAGAGATGCCAGCACTTAGTCCAGTTGATAAGTATCTGGCAAGAAATTAAAACATTGATATTTGAATTAAAATCATTCTTGTTTTTCCTTTTTTCTTGTTAAATTAGTTTAGGAACTTTTTATAAATTAAACCATCAAATTTTTGGCTCATTTACCGATTTTACTTTTTAATAAAAAAATATTTTTTTTTAATTATTACCAATTTTTATATTATAATGTTATAAATAACATTATTTTTAAAAATCTAATTATGCATTGTTTATAATTATTTACAACACCAAATTTAAATAAACCTTAATATCAAAACAACAACTCTCCATTCTACTTACAGATAAAACATTATACAATATAATGAAATACATGTTCGTCAGTGATGAAATATATCAAGCAATATTATGAAATGCATGCACTTCAGTGATAAAATATATTAAACAATATAATGAAATGTATGCTTTATTAATCGTTACAAACATATTCTAGATTACACAATTTAATTTACCTTTATATGATTTTAGATTTTAATGCAGGAATTGATTGGAAAGAGGTTTACAGCCATAAATTAAATAACACACAAATAAGAAACCTTATTTTATTAATAAAATAAAATTAATAAGTCGTAAACTATTTACCGATAATTTTATGCCCTTACATTAATCTTGGTTTTATATGATCTGATAATACAATAATCAATAAATAATAAAAATAAATTATTTTACTAAAACCTCATGAGTTTTATAAAAATATGTATCCATAAAATATAAATTCAATCTTTAAAAAATGTTATTGTAATAGTGCAATTGCAGAGAATTTTCCAGTAAATAAAAAAAATGAATACACAATTTTGAATGTATATTAAGAATAAAAAAGAATCACTCTGTCAAAATATGCAAACAAAATACTTTTATTTTAATCATTAGACAGTTGACAAAAAATGTGTAAATTCTCATAATAGATAATCAGGTAATTGTTTTGTTGACAATATTTTGAAAGCTTATTGTAGATTTAATGTAAAAATATTGTATTCATAATGATGTAGAGATGGTTGACCGTTGATATGATATGAGAAGGAGTTAGTTGAGGGTGCGGTCAAATAATTAAAAAAATTAAAATATATTGGCAAAAATTAAAATTATTTATATATTTTAATTTTTTTAATTATTTGACCTCACCCTCAACTAACTCCTTCTCATAAAAATATTGTAGTTTAAGCAAATATGTGTATATTTTTTTCAGGTATGCTGAGGTTGGTTATATGCCAAGCCAAAACGTTATATGTAAATTAAAATGAAAAAATAAAATTTATGGGACAAAAGATCAAATATTTTATCTATTATTAAAACCTTAAAGTTCAACCAATCTGGAAATAAAAATGTGCAAATGTTTTATACAAACATTTTTATTGTACAGTCGACTCTCGATAATTACAACTTTCTGATAATTCAAACTCTTCAGCTGTTAACTTCGGTGTCCGAAAAAATGCTGAATTTTGATATGCTCGATAACTCAAAATCTTTTTCGTAACAAGAGGGAGAGAGAATGTTCCACAATTCAAAATTTTCCAAATAATATTTTTTACATGAGCCTTTGTTCATATAAAATTTATGTAAGCTCATATATATTTACAAAAGTATAATAAA